CTCGGGTGGTTGTCTCGTTAAGCGAGTAGTGGTTGCAAAGCACTATCAATATCACGTCGAGGAATGGCAGCCTCGACGGAAGCCTCGTGAAGCGAGCCTGTGAGCTTGAGCTCCAAAGTTCTTGAGCTTGATGACAGGGTTTTTTCAATCAAACCGTGGAAGATATGTTAAAAGTATATATTGAATAAAATTAATAAACAACAAAGATTCACAATTAACATATACAAGTTATTTACCATGAATAAGATTTGTTACAATTCGCTCTGTATCGCTTTCCGTCTCATGTACTCCCACTGAAGTACTGTAAACGTCAAAAGTAGACGTTCGATCACTTTTGTGGGATTTCCATACTTTTGGCGGACCGGGCCTTGAATTGTCCGCCAAAATCTCGAACCAAAATCATCCATCGTCCCCATCAACGTCGGGACTCGTTCCCCTCTGGCCTCTCCGGATAGTCGATGTCGGCGTCGGGGATTTTGGAGTTTTTTCCCGGTTTGGGAAAAACTCTACCCGCGGTCTCGGCTTAGGCTGCCGAGCATCGCATCCAACCGCCAGAGCGGTGGGACCTTCGGAAGACGGTCCTTTCGGCCCAAAGACGGGGAAATTGGAAACATCGGTGAAATTTTCCCCGTCTTCGTAAAAGGGCTTACGGAGGTCTTATTTCTTGATGGATTCATTTGAAATTTTGTCTGTTGATACACGGCATGACATAGTGCCGTGGTTGGAGGGTTCGACCGAGATCGCGCGGATACTTTCGGCGGCAGCTCTGAAGACGTGAAAACCTATTATGGCTTAGCTGGCCGTTAGTAGTCCCGCGATTCGGTTCGAATTTGGACATGACAACCACCTAGCGATACTCTAGTGTGGTTGGAGGGTTCGGCCGAGATCAAATGAGCGGAACGGCTGAAAACGCGGAAAACGTGAAATCCGCGTTTCCCCGTATAACGGCGTTTTGGCTCATCCGATTCGGACGAAAATTTAGTGATATAGTGCTAGCTACTTGAGGAGTGCCGCATTAAATTTTGACACCGATCGCTCAATAACTTTTGGAGTTATTGGCGATAGCGTCCTTGACCATTTCGAAAGAGTGGTGAAATTTCTAATGGCCGTTTCCAAATATCGCCTCGAAGCGTCCCGGGGTTCGACTGCAGGTTGAGAGAGCAGCGGCAATGGTCACTGCGCGCCGGGATGGCAGACCCAGGCGAGATCGGTCTTTGCGCTCTGGAAGCCCTATCGCCGGGAGGATCGATGTCTGAAGACTTTTATAGAGGCTTTTTCATTTTGCCCGGCCGACGGCGATTGATTTTGCAACCGTGGCGGGTTTTTGGTTTGGATTGGAAAGGCAGGTGAATTTGATTATTTCGCCTCCCTTCCAATTCAGGGGTCTCCGGCATATCTGTAGATACAAGATTATGACTTCTATGAATATACGGGGTGTTCTGAAATCCTGAAGCTCGCTCGAAGGGTGGAATACGACAAACTTTAATTGTCTTGTGCTTTGTGCTGTGAAAGGAAGCGCAAATTGCAGAAGATTTCCTATACAAAACATCAGTTTTCATGTGTAAGTACAGAACATTTCTAAATAACTTAGGTAACTGTACATAAAAATAAGATATTTCCACTTTTTATTCTAAATTTTTATTGTAAATATGTATTTTTTTTATTTCTAGCTTTCCTAGAAATGAAACTTTACAGGTGTGGCTAAAGGCTTTCTATCGAAAAAGAAAATTGGGTATGGACAAAAAATAACGTAATTTGCTCTGAACACTTTAAAGCAGATGATTTTGTCCCCTTTTGTGGAAGAAGAACAGTACGACCCAACTCTGTACCTTCCATAAAATTATTTTGTGGTGTATCTTCTTCCATTTTGAGCGAGAGTACTTTATCGAGTTCAATTAATACAGGAACTTTGACCAGCAAATTGATGTTACAATCAAGTGGATCATCTTTAACCTATAATGTTACTGAAGTTCGAGAAGGTTCAACGTAAAAAGAAGAGGCAACTGTATTTAAGGTAATAAAGATTTGTAATTTAAAAATAGTAGTAATGCTAAGGATGTTAAATACGTACCCTGTCAAATTGCTTGATACGGACCTAATAAATTAAGAAATATATTTACAGTAATTTCATTTTCAGTGTTCAGAATACATCGAATGGTAACATTAGTACTGATAGTAGTGCTAAGAGAAGGAGAATTATGGCAATGAAAACATACATTCGTAGGTAAATTTAGGCAAACAATATACTAAAAAAAAAAATTCAGGGACATCTAATACGAAAACAACTAAGTTAATATTATTTAATCATCAATAAATAAAATATGTAAAATCATTATTATTTGCTTATACTAGTTTATCTTTATATTTCAAAATAGAATTTTTTTTAGATATTTACCAATTTCTGAAAACAACTTATTAAAATAAAAAATGTTGCTCATATAATTTTTGGTATTGCATTTTAAATTTGCCTCACCCTGTTCCTATTTAAATTTCCTTAAATTTATCTTGTTGGCAACCATGATGTTCAAAATGACGACCATTGTTATTAGCCGCTCGCGCAGGTTGTAAGAGCATTCTCCCCACTCTATATCTCTGATCTTGACGTTCATTCTCCTGTCGTCGTACCTCATCATCCCGTGTTACACTTACCATTAGGTTGCGGCTCTCAGGGTTTCTGGACATATTATATACTTCTCGCGCTGTCGCGCTGGACTCTGCTCGAGATGTAGCTAACCTGGTAATATTGCGCTTAGGCATGGCTAGGTGAGAGGACGCGATCTAATTTTGTAACAACTTGTCGTTCCCTTAGATAGGATGTATAAGAGGTTTGACTCTAACAAAGGGAATTTGGATAGAATTGATACGAGATATAGGATCGGTATTGGAAAGATAGGTGAAAAGTGACTTTAAGCGCCAATACGTCCCGCTATCTCTGATATTTGAGCTCAGGCGGCTATGAGAGCCGTTGATTAGGTAGTTTGTATATATAATTCTTATAATTATATATATCTAGAGGTAAACACTACGCTCATATAGTTCTGATAACTATAGGGGCGGTTTGATGCACTTCACTAGAGCTTATATCTAACACTTTATGATAGGGCTGGCTAATGGCCCGTGATTTGGGTCTGCCGCGGGTCAGAAATAAATGCCCGGGCGACGTTTTACCTTTCTTTTATAGATAAGAGGTAGGTTAGGTTATATATATATATATATTAACATAAATCTGACTCTAACAATAGGTTAAATGTGTGCGAAAGGCTGTAATAATGACTGTAGAGGCTTTAATGTCGCAACTAAAATTTGGAGCGTCCCACACAGAGACTGGCCGGATACGTCGATCCGGTTAAATAACTGCAAATGCCTGCAGTTGACGGTCCATCTCGGTAGGTGATTCGCGGCCTTGATCCGCGGTTGATTCCCGGGTTTTTTCTACGAATTTTCTCCCTCTTCTTGATCGGTGCTTCCCTGCAAGGCCGGGGACCATTGGAAAGTGGGTCGAATTCTTGACTCCCTGGAAGGTGGCTGCTGGCGCGTTGTCGGCTTCGCATCGGTCGTCCTCGATGTGGCCTAACTCGTCTCCATCACCAGAGGGCGCATTTTTGATGATTTGCGGCTTCTCGCAGGTGGATTGGAAACATCGGTGATTTTCGTTATTTGGCTTGTTTGGCTCAACTGCGGCTCTGCGATGCTGGAAATCTGAAACATAGGTGTTTTTGTTTGTTTTCCTTGGATACTGCTGCTTCTTGGTTCGAGGCGGCTGGATAGTAGCCGGATTCGAAACCTTGTCGATTTCTTCCGTCTTCGCCCTGGTATTGATATCGGCTTGGCGAATGGAAGCTTTGTGTAAATTATGGCTTAGGACTTGGTTTGTGTTACTGGATATCGGACTTAGGACGTTGTCCGGGATTCTTGGATTCGGATTGGAAACTTGGGTGAAAATCTTACTTTCCGTCCTGACAGCGACTTCGGCTTCAGGATTCGAAACATTGCGTAAGTTAATGCTTTGCCTTCGATTTCCTATGTTGGAAATCGGGCTTGGAGCTCTGTGCTGGATTTTGAGGTTTGGATTGGAAACATGGGTGAAAGTTTTACTTTTTCCTCTGACAGCGGCTTCGGCTTCAGAGTTAGAAACATTATGCAATTTAATGCTTTGCCTTCGATTTCTTATGCTTGAAATCGGGCTTGGAGCTTGGTGCTGGATTTTGAGGTTTGGATTGGAAACATGGGTGAAAGTTTTACTTTCTCCTCTGATAGCGACTTCGGGCTCGGGATTGGAAACATTGTGGAATATGTTTGTTAGCTTCAGGTTTTACATAGAGGGCTTGCATTGGAGCGCTGTTCCGGGCGTTGGAACTTGGATTCGAAAGATAGTCGAAATCTGAAGTTCGCTCGTTCAGATTATACGACACTCCCTACTCCATATCTCTGATCTTATATTATAGCTGCTTTCTTTTGGTTTCAGATTTCGGATCTAAACGCGTTATGATCCCAAAATCGTTTTCGTAGTTGTTTTCTTGTTTCCGGATCTTGTCAGATTATATGTTAGGATCAGTAATCTTCTTTCCCCTATGAATCAAACTTTTTCTGTGATTCGAAATTTTGTAGACGACGGATGGGGCCCACCTACGAAGGCTGTCCAGGCCTACAGGAGATGAGGCAGGATAAAGAGGAATAATCCCCCTCGATCCCAAATCATTGAGGCCAATTTCTAGCCATGGAATAATGGCGGCGATCACGATCACACTTAAAATTGTGGTGTTCTTTTTTTTCTCTAAGAAGGCAGTTACTATTTTTATTTTAATTGTGCACAGAAGAATAGGTATATCTAAACGATATTTCAAATCAAATCAAATGTCAGCAGTAAACAAAATCCTGTTCTCTTCGAAATTGGATTCAAGGATCTAGTTCGTGTTTGTCTGATCCTGATTCAGTGATCATGATTCAAAACTGAGAACGAAAGAAAACGTTTTATGTTTCGTGCTTAGAATAATATTCTAAGGTTACATACACGTGTTATTTGTTATTTCATTTCTCTTTTCATTTATTTATATACCTAGTTAATTTGTGTTATTATTCACTGTTTTGGGTTTAGACGAATAGGATTTTTGAGAAATATTTTTAATATGGTGCGAAAAAAAATTGATAACCGTATAAGAATTTTAATTGAAAATGGAGTGAAACTTGGTCACAGAACTTTATTTGTTGTTACAGGCGAAAAAAGTCGCGATCAGGTTAGTAAAGTAAATAGATAATAGAAGGTCATAGACAAATTTAAGAATATTTTTCAAAATTCATCATTTAGATTCACTAGGAGTAAGACTTAATTTTTATTTTAGGTAGTTATTTTACACCATATTCTCTCTAAGGCCTGTATAAAAGAGAGACCATCAGTATTGTGGTGTTATAAAAACGAATTGGGATTTAATACACACAAGAAAAAACGAATAAAACAATTACAGAATAAAATTCAATCAGGAAAACTTGTAGTAAATGAGGATGACCCATTTGAATTATTTCTTTCTTCCACGAAAATACGATATTGCTACTATTCTGAGACTCATAAAATACTTGGGAATACATATGGAATGTGTGTATTACAAGATTTTCAGGCCATTACTCCAAATCTCCTGGCCAGAACAATTGAAACTGTTGAAGGAGGTGGCTTGATAATAATTTTATTACAGTTCCACACATCTTTAAAACAACTCTATACTATGAACATGGATGTCCATCAAAGGTTTCGTACTGAGGCACATCAAAATGTTATTTGTAGATTCAATGAAAGATTTTTATTATCATTGGCTGCTTGTACACATTGCCTAGTTGTGGATGATCAATTAACAGTTTTACCTATGTCATCGCATAATATAAATGTTACTTCTGTAGAAAATTTACATGAACTATCACAAAATGAAGTGGAACTTAGTAATTTGAAAGATCAATTTAAAGATGCACAACCTATAGGAGTTTTGGTTAATTTATCTAAGACATGCGACCAAGCGAAAGTCTTGCTGAAATTTATTGAGAGTATTTCGGAAAAATCCTTAAAGACAACAGTATCACTCACTGCAGCTAGAGGTAGAGGAAAATCTGCTACATTAGGTTTGGCTGTATCTGCTGCAGTAGCTTTTGGTTATTCAAATATATTGATTACCAGTCCTAGTCCTGAAAATTTATGTACGTTTTTTGAGTTTGTTTTTAAAGGATTTGATGCTTTGGGGTATGAAGAACATATTGACTATGAATTAATACAGAGCACGAATCCAGAATTTAGTAAAGCTATCGTCCGAGTTAATATTTTCAGAGATCATCGACAAACCATCCAGGTAGGTAAATTATTATAATAATAATTACACTTTTTATAGAGATGCAGGTACAATTTTTATTAAACTGTTTATCTAGGGTATTGAGAAAATTGTATAAAATTTGTTCAGATGAGAAGTTGCCATTAATTTTTATATTTATTTATTTACGAGAAATTCGAGGGGGAAATTTGTATGTCTAAAATTTGTACATAAAATACTAACTTTCATGATTAATCAAGGATTACTGAAATAATGGAAGGAGACCTGGGTGACAGGAAATGCCGATAATAGCATCATACCTACATGTGATGTAAATAATTGTTTTAACACTCAAATATTACTGAAGTATTACTCAAATATTATTCTTGTACATTAAATTACTCCTGCTGTTTTCCTCTCGAGAAACCCCATTACAGACTACATTGTACGTTAAAAACACATTACTGCAAACTAAAACATTAAAATAAATGTACCAACAAAGAAAACAGTTAATACTCATTTAGAACTATACAGGGTGTCCCGAAATGCATGCAACAAAATTTGGTCACAGATTCTTAGGACAAAGGACCCAGCACAAACCTTATGGGAAATGGTTCCTGGTTGAATTGGCTGAATTTTTTATATGTTACGTATCTCGGCATCCTGAACAAATGTCTTCATGGGCGCAAAGTCCAAAACTCCACGGATTCCGAGGTAAACCTACCTAACCCCTACAAACTACCCCTACCAAACCACAAGCAGACCCTGGAAACGGCGAGTTTAGTCGATTATTTTTCTTGAAATAATTAAATTCCACACCACAAGGGGGCTAACCCGCCTACTCCCTAACCCATGTAGCCCTTAGAAACCGCCCCTACCAAACCACAAGTAGGCTAATCCATCCGAGCCTGCGACTAGCGAATTTAATCGCTTATTTTTCTTGAAATAATTAAATTCCACACCACAAGCGGGCTACTCCCTAACCCACATAGCCATGTGGGTTAGCCTGTTTGTGGTTTGGTAGGGGTGGTTTCTAAGGGTTAGGTGGGATAGGGAGTAGGCAGGTTAGCATGCTTGTGGTGTGGAATTTAATTATTTCAAGAAAAATATGAGATTAAACCCGCTGTTCTCAAGTCAGGTGGGTTAACCTACTTGTGGTTTGGTAGGGGTGGTTCCTAGGGGCTACGTGGGTTAGGGGGTAGGCGGGTTAGCCCCCCTATCCCACCTAACCCTTAGAAACCACCCCTACCAAACCACAAACAGGCTAACCCACATGGCTATGTGGGTTAGGGAGTAGCCCGCTTGTGGTGTGGAATTTAATTATTTCAAGAAAAATAAGCGATTAAATTCGCTAGTCGCAGGCTCGGATGGATTAGCCTACTTGTGGTTTGGTAGGGGCGGTTTCTAAGGGCTACATGGGTTAGGGAGTAGGCGGGTTAGCCCCCTTGTGGTGTGGAATTTAATTGTTTCAAGAAAAATAATCGACTAAACTCGCCGTTTCCAGGGTCTGCTTGTGGTTTGGTAGGGGTAGTTTGTAGGGGTTAGGTAGGTTTACCTCGGAATCCGTGGAGTTTTGGACTTTGCGCCCATGAAGACATTTGTTCAGGATGCCGAGATACGTAACATATAAAAAATTTGTAAAAAACGTAAACTTTTTAAGCTTGATTGGAGACATAAGTAATGACAGTTTTAAGGGTTGTTGACAGGGTGTCTTCCGATAGTGACAAGAGGTCCGAATGTTTCTTAAAAATCAGTATAAAAGTAATGTTAACAACCTATGTCAAATATAGGGCGGTACGGGGCTAATTTTCTAAAATACATGTAACTAAGTTTTAAGGGTGGATAATATGGGTGGCAGTAGTCAGAATTTAGTTGGTAAAATCATTTTAAGCACGATTAAACGTGATATTACGGGTTTTCATTTTCGTTCAAACGAACGTTCGGAACTTCAGGTACATGATTACTCAAAATATGTTTGTTTTGTTGTCAATTAAGCGTCCGGGCGCAAATAATGCGGTATTGACTAATATTTTCATGCTTTTTCTGCAATACATGTTTTACAAAAATAAACTTTATGTGCATTGTTGAATTCAGAATAGAAATCTGCACAATAATAAGTAAAAAAAAACCTATATTACCATTTGAAAAAAAAGCTTTCTTTCAAAAAAAATAATAAATATGCTCCAATAGGCTCACTCTATATTGTACCCTCACTCTATATGTATTTAGAGCCATTTTACATCTATTTTCGTTTTTTGAAATCAGACTATAAATGACGGAATTATGGCTTGCGGCGTTTTTTAGGACACAGCCTGTATATAAATAAATGCATTTAAACATACCCAGAGAATTCTAAAAAGTCCTTGTCCTACCCTATATGCTGACAAGTTTATAAACCTCACTAGAATGCTAAGTTTGCACAGAACCTTCAGTACATACAAACAGAGTAAGAGAATATCTGCCAACTCTGAAGCAATGAACATGTTAAATAGTTTATATCCTTCTCCTTAGTGGTGGCTGGCGTGGGAAGGGGGGCCTGAGGTGCCGCACCCCCTAGTTTCATAGTAAAAAAATTTAATTTAAAATTTGGTTTATAATGTTATCTGGATAATTAAATGCATTAGCCTTATGAAACACATTAAAAAGGAAATGTTAAATTTGCAATGTGCAATCAATTTTGACTTGCACATTTCATTAAAAAACACTGAATACGTGGGCTGCTCATAGCTCGTCCATAAATCTGTAAAGTGTTTAAAGCAGTGATCATGGTTTCCGTCGCACAACAGTGAAAGGCAAAGTGGGAGTAACACATATTTACTTGGGCTCTGGTTAGTTCTTCCGTAACCAAATAGTAGCTATTCATTGTTTTTTTTTCTTATCAAATGTAATTTGTTTACGTGTGGTATACGTATTATTTCCTATGTTTTTTAAAAGATTGTAAAAGTTTAAATTAGATTGTAAAAACAAACTAACAGTATTTGCAGTTTGGAAAAATTTGGTTGCAAATTTGATTTTTTTTTAAATTATTAGTTAGCTAGAAAGCCATTGAATTTAGAAACTTTTTTGTCCCTTGATATTTGTTTCGTAAAACGCAAAGTTTTTGAGGAAAATGGAGAATCACGATATGCATTCGATCACATTTTAACATTTTTCTCAAAAACATTGCGTGTTACGAAAAAAGTATAGACAAAAAGTTTCTAAATTTAATGGCTTTCTAGTGGACTGATAATTTTTAAGAAATTTAAATATGCGACCAAATTTTTTTGGCTCCAAAGATAAGGGGGCCCACGAAAAATTGTCTTAAGGGTGTTCCCCGCCAAAAAACATTGCACCATCAGATTCCACGTCATAAAACCCCTGTGTACCAAATTTAGTGATTCTCGTACAACAGGGTTCCGAGATATAAAAAAAATATTATTCTTAGGGGCGGACTTCAGAGGGCTGCAACTCCGAAAAAGAGGGCCACTTGGCAAAAATAAAAAATATGGGTCGCCTAAAGGACCCCGCACAAACCTTATGGGAAATGGTTCCTGGTTAAATTGGCTGAATTTTTTATATGTTACGTATCTCGGCATCCTGAACAAATGTCTTCATGGGCGCAAAGTCCAAAACTCCACGGATTCCGAGGTAAACCTACCTAACCCCTACAAACTACCCCTACCAAACCACAAGCAGACCCTGGAAACGGCGAGTTTAGTCGATTATTTTTCTTGAAATAATTAAATTCCACACCACAAGGGGGCTAACCCGCCTACTCCCTAACCCATGTAGCCCTTAGAAACCGCCCCTACCAAACCACAAGTAGGCTAATCCATCCGAGCCTGCGACTAGCGAATTTAATCGCTTATTTTTCTTGAAATAATTAAATTCCACACCACAAGCGGGCTACTCCCTAACCCACATAGCCATGTGGGTTAGCCTGTTTGTGGTTTGGTAGGGGTGGTTTCTAAGGGTTAGNTTCTAGCTAACTAATAATTTAAAAAAAAATCAAATTTGCAACCAAATTTTTCCAAACTGCAAATACTGTTAGTTTGTTTTTACAATCTAATTTAAACTTTTACAATCTTTTAAAAAACATAGGAAATAATACGTATACCACACGTAAACAAATTACATTTGATAAGAAAAAAAAACAATGAATAGCTACTATTTGGTTACGGAAGAACTAACCAGAGCCCAAGTAAATATGTGTTACTCCCACTTTGCCTTTCACTGTTGTGCGACGGAAACCATGATCACTGCTTTAAACACTTTACAGATTTATGGACGAGCTATGAGCAGCCCACGTATTCAGTGTTTTTCAATGAAATGTGCAAGTCAAAATTGATTGCACATTGCAAATTTAACATTTCCTTTTTAATGTGTTTCATAAGGCTAATGCATTTAATTATCCAGATAACATTATAAACCAAATTTTAAATTAAATTTTTTTACTATGAAACTAGGGGGTGCGGCACCTCAGGCCCCCCTTCCCACGCCAGCCACCACTAAGGAGAAGGATATAAACTATTTAACATGTTCATTGCTTCAGAGTTGGCAGAGATTCTCTTACTCTGTTTGTATGTACTGAAGGTTCTGTGCAAACTTAGCATTCTAGTGAGGTTTATAAACTTGTCAGCATATAGGGTAGGACAAGGACTTTTTAGAATTCTCTGGGTATGTTTAAATGCATTTATTTATATACAGGCTGTGTCCTAAAAAACGCCGCAAGCCATAATTCCGTCATTTATAGTCTGATATCAAAAAACGAAAATAGATGTGAAATGGCTCTAAATACATATAGAGTGAGGGTACAATATAGAGTGAGCCTATTGGAGCATATTTATTATTTTTTTTGAAAGAAAGCTTTTTTTTCAAATGGTAATATAGGTTTTTTTTTTACTTATTATTGTGCAGATTTCTATTCTGAATTCAACAATGCACATAAAGTTTATTTTTGTAAAACATGTATTGCAGAAAAAGCATGAAAATATTAGTCAATACCGCATTATTTGCGCCCGGACGCTTAATTGACAACAAAACAAACATATTTTGACTAATCA